TGTAAGTGTGAAAACTACTTGTACATGCATATTAAAGAGGTGTGAGTGTGAAATTTTTTTGTACATGTATATTACAGAGGATTAAGTGTGAAAACTTCTAGTAAATGTATATTACAGTGGCGTAAGTGTGAAAACTTCTTGTACATATATAATGCAGGGGTGTAAGTGTAAACACTATTTTTACACGTATACTACAATGTTGTAAGTGTGAAAACTACTTGTACATGTATAGTACAGGGGTGTAAGTGTGATCACTTCTTTCATATGAATATTACAGGGGTGTAGGTGTGAAAACTACTTGTACATGTATAGTACAGAGGTGTAAGTGTGAAAACTTCTTGTACATGTATATTATAGGGGTGTAAGTGTGAAAACTACTTGTACATGTATATTATAGGGGTTGTAAGTGTGAAAACTTCTTGTACATGAATGTTACAGAGGAGTAAGTGTGAAAACTTTTTTACATGTATATTACAATGGTGTAAGTGTGAAAACTATGTGTACATGTATATTACTGGGGTGTAAGTGTGAAATCTATGAGTACGTGTATATTATAGGGGTGTAAGTGTTAAAAGTACTTGTATTATGATAAAAAATAAACAGAATGAAAGGGTTTCATTGGGGGTTTTAAAAGACTTTTTATTTTAGTTTGATACGTTTAATGTTTAAAGAAGCTCTAGAAGAGATGAATAATTAGATTCAATTGAATATTTTAATTCTAGGTTGGATATGAAATGTTAAAAGAACTAGAAGAACAAAATAATAAGACTGATCGAATATTAAAATTCCAGGTTTTGATGTGAATGAATGGAGACCTCTATGCCGTTGTAAGCATCCCCACGCCGAGCATTCAGCTGATAAAAAACGATGTAAAACCTGTACTTGTCCTGGGTAAGGAGTCATCAGCTGATAAAAAAGCTGTACAACCTGTGTGCCAGACATTTAAAAGAGTATCATTGAACAAAACTCCCATGTTTCCTTTTTGGGGTCTTAACATTTTGATTTTGATTTAAGAGATTCGAAAAAATGGAGAATATAAATTAAAAACATAAAAAAAGATTTCATAACAAAAACATTGATATCCACAAAACTGCCTAACCCCATTCGTGAAACCCGAGTTCTAAAACCGGTTTTCATAACGATACCTTGTCTTACGTTTTTGGGCTCTGTAGTTGTCGCAGGTAAAGACAAACTAAAGGGTTTGTGGACGTAATTTCACGTGCCCGGTGCCCCAATTAGTGAGAGTGAGAGTGGGATTGTCGATTCACATTTGTACCCAAAAACTTTTTCTGATTAATTGTACGAATTAGATACCCATGTTTTTGTTTTTGGAAATTGATTTTATTTCTGACTTCGCTTTCAAAACAAATCTTATATTTTCCTGTGTAAATAGAATTATTGTAATAATTTATATATAAATTTTTAGGTTTATCATTAACTGAAGATAATTTTTACTGCATCTTAAATCCTTTTTTAAAGAAAACAAAATTTTAGTTTTTTACTTCTTTTGCTTTTTAGGTTTATCAGCGACTTTCTCTGCTTAAGTTGTGACGGAAAGTGGGAAGAGCATGAAGTAAGGTTAGAAATAAAAAAATAAGAAATAGAAAATTTTTTAAATCAAAATTAAATCAAAAATACAATGCCAATCATAATTAAGATATAAATATTTTCCATCCACCTAGTCCCGAAAAAATATTTTAGTCGTTTACAACCCTAATAAAACTTAAAGGGACAGTAAGCGTAATTTCATGCGATTCTTCATGCAAAGATGACAATTCCCGATGCACAACGGTACCCTTATTAAAGCTTTGTCTGAGAATGTATGAATTAGATGTTAAATGATTATAATTTTAAAAACTGATTATTTTCAATATCTTCCATGTTATTTATCAGAATAAGGTTTCAAGGGTACCATTGTTAATCGGATATTATCATCTTTGCATGAAAAGTCAAGCACACATTAAAAAAATGTCAAAAAGAAATAAAAAAAACTAATAAAATTTATTTTCCCAGGTATGAGGATGAGACTGACCGGAAAGATGAAAATAAACCTGTCGGAGAAGATTTCTATCCTCTCAGTGATGTTCCAGAAATTCAGCAAGTAATTTACACTGCAGGGAGAAGAAAGTTTCAAACCGTGATTTAACCCAGACTTGACAATTTGTGTCAGGCTCAGAACAAAAGCATATTTAGAACTTTCTTCCTCTGTATTTAAAAAGAATAAATTCTTTATTTTCTTGTTGAATGCTCGTAATCTATGTAATAAAACAAGACATTTGTATATATATATATGTTGCGTATAGCCGGCCAAACGGCTGGGCCGATTGAGCTAGCATTTTTTGTGGACACTCATGGGTGGTCGGTGGGTGTTGCTAAAAGAAATTCGAAATTTAAAAAAAAAAATTTTGTGTGTAAATTTTTTAGTTCAATTTTTTTTCCACGGGCCCTTCAGCTAGTTTTAACAATCCTTATTTTAGATATTAGAGACTCTAAAAAGCCATTTTACCACTGAGGCAAACATTTAGAAACTTTAGACTTTGTTTCAATGGATGAGTAGTTTGTTCTGTATTCTAAAGTCTCAGAATATACTGGTTTGAAGATTTCTATTATCTTGTTTGCGGATTTATTCCTTGGTAGGAAAGACGACATTGTCTTAGCTACAATTTCAAAAAAGGTTATTTGAAAAAAATTCCATTTTCAGTTGATCTTTTAATTTCTCATGACTGTAATTATTTCAATTTAGGTGAAATTTCCATGAAATTTCACTCTAAAGATTTTAATTTAAGGAATTTCTAAAGCAGTTGGAAGAGGAAGAAAAACAGTTGGAAGCGAAGAAGAAAGAGGAGAAAGATCAATCTAAACCGTCAGAAGATCAATTAGAAGATACAAAAATCACATCGATAGGAGATCAATTAGCTCAGGTCAATTTTACTCAAATTTAAACCTGGTTTTTGAAAAATGGACTAGACAATTGCCATTTTTTTACTTGCTTATCCTTATGTTTTTGCAATTTGATTGTGAAAATCTTTGATACCTAAACTATAATATTTGAGCTATCATCAGGATACAAAGTTAAACGGATTACAGTGGTCGACGTTCTTATCAATACAACAAAGACGACATTTCTATTTAATATTTGATTTCTACCAAGATTTTTTCAACTAATAAATTTACAAGGGACAGCTTCCATGTTTATGTGGATTGTGTATCCATGTTTATGTGGATTGTGTACTGTGTATCCATGTTTATGTGGATTGTGTACTGTGTATCCATGTTTATGTGGATTGTGTACTGTGTATCCATGTTTATGTGGATTGTGTACTGTGTATCCATGTTTATGTGGATTGTGTACTGTGTATCCATGTTTATGTGTATTGTGTACTGTGTATCCATGTTTATGTGGATTGTGTACTGTATATCCATGCTGTTTGGAAGCTTGGTAGAAATAAAAAATATTCATTGTATTGATTTTTACGATGACGACTGCAGATAATCATATGTATTTATTGTTAACGAGAAAAGGCATCAATTACAGTGAGACCCAATAAAAAATGGAATAGGAAGACGGCTGGTGGACTCAAGTTTTGATTTTATGAATAAATATCAAGAAACATGAAACATCCTACAAACATTTTAAAAGTTGATTTTTAAGATACTTAAAAATTTTCTTGCATTTACTACATCATATAAACATAAGATTTTTAAATGCAGTCGCCATTTTCATTAGTTTAATCGGTCTCAATGTACCTCTCCTCCATTTTTCGTGAACACTTAATTTATTATCTACAGGGTGTCCCAATAAACATGTGAATTGAAAGATGACTTGAAAGTAGTCTTTGATTTCGATAGTTAATAAAAGGTGGTCTGTCTTCTATATTTATTTAAAATTGAAGGAGACATTAAACATTTGAACAATTTAATAATTGGGCATTTGTGCACATTTTTCTATAAATCCGTCAATTCTGATGATGTAAAAAGGGTAGACCACATTTTGGAATTCCCATATTTATTGGGATGCACCCTGTATAATAATCTCATTAATTTTGTCTAGGTTGCTGATGGATTGGGTCGAGTAGAGCTGACCCTGCCAGCTAGAGATAAACCAGAGAAAAGTGTTCGATTGATGAAGGAACGCGGCATGCTCAAGAAATATTAATAACACTTTATTCGCGCCTCCTTCCCTGGTAACTGATGACCTGGGAGTCGGCCATTTCAAATTAAAAAAAAAAATTTGATAGATTTATTTCAAATTGGTGCACTTTTGTGAGGTACACAAAATTAGGGCCAATCGGCCAGAAATATTTGGGTTTCTGGCCGATATATATATATATATAGAAGATAGGAACTGACAATGTATTTTCAGATGACTAAAGTAGCGTGTCCTGTTCACATGGAACTGTACCATTTAACAGCTTTGTCTGTCGGATTTCGAATAAGGAAGATATCAATGTCTTTTGGTTTGAAAATTAATCATTATTTCTTTACAACAGTGACTTTTTAGTTTTTCTGCAGAAACAATGGAGAAAATTGTCAGAATTTTGTTAAGCAAGAAAAACGACGATGTCTTCTACAATATAGATCTGATAAAGATTTGAGGGGTACAATTGTGAACTGGGAATACCCTCCTTAAATCCCTTTTAAAAAAACCATTAAATAGTTTCTGATTAGAAGAATTGTGAAAAGATATGCAGTTAGCGTTTAAAACATAAGTATCTCCGTCTTGTCTATATATTAACACTAAAAAACTTTGCCTTTCTTATCTAAACACTAACAGCCAAAGTGTAAATTAAGTTTTATATATTCGCAGAACTGAAGATACTGAATACTTGCCTCCAGCGCTAATTTTTAACTCCTTAATCTCTGTAACTTTAAAATTCAAATTTTGATAAAGCACAATCCATCAGATTTTGTCAATTTGAATTTGAGGCAAGTGTCCAAAATGCTTTCTTGTGATAAATATTTTAATTTTAAATGAATCCAAGTATAGTTAAACAATTTGCATTTTAAAAATATATATTTAACAATCAAATTTCTAGCAATAAATAATAAATATATATTTGTACGTGACGTCTAAGAAAGTATAAAACTACAGTTGAGAGGGGTTGACAAGATTATGGCAGATGTAATTAATGAATAATTGAACAGTGTACATGTTTTACGTTGTTCTGCTTGTACGGTTTGTACACTGCACAATCACAGTATGACAGATGTGATAAATCAATGATTATCAGCAAGTACAGCGTACAAGGTGTATATTGTACAGTGTTGTTTACATTGTACGGTGTAAATGTAAGTTTGCAGGCTAAACAGTTTGCACAATGTACAGTTTGTACGATGTACAACGTGTACAATGTACGGTGTGTTAATTGTTGTACAATAAATGTACACTGTACAGTTTGTACAATTTGTTCAAATGATTCATCGATATTTAATTCACATCAAATTTATTCCATTGTTTAAGTTTTCCCCTCTACAAGCTCTCACTCCTCTACTCTTTCCTATAAAATAAAATCACAAATTATTTTAAGTGTTGCAAATAGTTTTGTTTTATGAAAGTTTCATTAAATTCTATTTTAATTATGCTCTTACAGTTTGGGAACCAAAATCAAAATTCAGTAATATAAAATGTTCGACAGTATTTTTACTTATAAATATAAACAATAAACAGTGCTTAGAAATCTGGATCCGCTGGATTCAGATCCGCAAAAGTATGCGGATCCAGATCTGCAAAAGTATGCGGATCCACGGATCCGGATCCAATGGGCAAAATATCCAAAGGGCAAAATATCTATCAAAAACTGCAAAAAAATTTGTTTACTCCTCCCTGAAAATGAAGTACATCAAATTAGTAAACAAAGGAGTTGATTTTTGGCCAAACTCAAATTGTATAATCCCTAAAACTTTGCAACCTGATGGAGTAAACCTTTTCATCCCGAATATTTGATCTAACAGAACTCAAAGTTTGAAATTTATAAGACATGGGAATTATAAAATCCGAATTTGTGGCAAAGACTCAATTCCTTCAAACTGCTATTTTCATATTATTTCTTACCTGGTATAAATTCTTTCAGTAACAACATCATCAACCTAAACAATTTAATTTGATTTGCGAGTGGTTTTGAAATAAATAACATTTGACANCTTGTAAGAATAAAAAGGTTGCCAAAATCTTTAACATGATGAATGGTAGGCAGCGGCCCAAAGAAGTTACGTGCACATACCGCAATGAATTATAAGACAGAGAGAGCCAGTTCTAGACGCGGTGCTCGGCCCCCAAGCCTGTCCTAGCCGCAGCACTCGGCCCAGAAAGTGTCTTAACCTAACCTAACCCTAAAATATAAACTAATCTCTCTCTTCTTGTAATTCAACGCGGCAACTTCCTTGGGCAGCTACCTGACTAGTGGAAAAATCTATACAGGGTACCCTACAAAGGACTAAATGACTAAGTACCGGCATGATACTCTTAAAAGATAAATTTCATTTTTAACTTCAAAATACTCAATGGGCTGGTAACTGTTGTAGTGTGGATATAGAAATGAATGATTAATCTCGTTTCTGAAATCTCATCTTTGTGGGGTAACCCTGTAAGGTTTAAAGGGTAAGTGTCGTAAATAGTTGCATTATTAATGGATTTTATTAATTGTATCGATTTGACTTTAAAAATTGATTTCATTAATTTATCATTAATGAATTGATTAAACTGATCGATTGGTAGATGGATAGATAGATAGCTAGTATTACCTGACAGACACAAGTCATTTTGTCCTTGAAAAATTCCCTCACACAGGAGCTGTCCTTTCCTCCCTGAGCATAAATATTCAGGGTTATATATTCAATAATTAAACGGCCCACTGGGGTAGGGGGGGGGG